CAGAAGCTCTCTCTCCTGAGGAGAACGGAGTCCTGTCTTGTGCCCCGCTGCACTCTGCCGCCAGCCAAGGTATCTCTGGGGTAAAACACCACAGTGCTGCCTTTGGCCAAGCAGCGAGGGTCAGAACTGGCCTAGGCACCATCTAACTGGTTATATTGGGATTCTTATTCCAATAAGGTGTCCTATTGTTTGGCTTAGTTCCAGTTTGCAGCAAATGGATTTAGATTGTCATTTGATATACTTCGAGATTACTTGTTGAACCTAACCCTTCCTTTTTATTATTTTTTCCCACTTTTACATTTAATGAAAGTGTAATTCCATATTGCCTTTATTTTATTATTTGCATGGATCCCCATTTTGTTACATAAACAGAATGTGCTCAGGTTCTGTACATTAATGATTTGAGATCTGCTGTCTTTACTGGCAGTTTCTCTAATGGTCCATCCTTTTAAAATGAAGGACTGGTTGTCAAGCAAATGATATTTTCAGTATCTGCCAAGCAAAATGCTGTCTTTCACTCATGAGTTTTAATCTTGCTTTGCTTACCACTTTGCTGAAGTCTTCTATCTGTATGTATTTTATATTTGGTATACCTGTTGTTTGGGGTTTTTTTCCTCATACAAAAAGAAATAGAAATATCTGGCTTGGTTTTTGTTTTAATATGCAGAGAAAGAGATGACTTGATGGATGCACTTGTTTCAGTGAGACAAAGCATAAAAGAGATGCAGCAAAGAGAATCTAATGCTTGTAAGCAAGTTGAACATGCTGTGCAAATGGCAGAAGAGGCCAATTTTGAAAAAACAAAGGTAAATCCATCACGAAATTCGAGCTTTTTAGTGTTCCAATCTAATGCAAATATTAATTAGTTTTCATGCTAATGAGAGAATACCTGCATAAGACCTTTGTCATATTTTAATATAATGTAGATTTAAAACAACTGCACCATGTGACTATTTCTGAGCAGTAATGTGAAATCTGTATTCAAGTTCCTAAATTCTCATCAATACTATGAGGAGTGCTGCATTTTTTAATTGATGTACTTTCACAGCTAGGTGATATAAATTCAGTTGTAGAATTTTCAAAGATATTCATGATATGTAAGAGGATAATTTTGACATCACCCTTCTGACCTACTCTGGAAAAATAGTTAAAATGCTTGCAAACAGTTATTTTTTGCCTCGGATGAGAGCAGTGCAAGAACTGATTGACTGTCAGAGCTCTTTGAAGATGAGAAGCCTTGTCTAATGCTAAGCTTGTCCAAGCTTCTGGTGCTATGTAAATAATAGTGATAAAACCAGTTTTGATCTAATGCTTGTGTTAGCCCTGTACACAATCAACCTATATTCACCTAAATTATTTCCTTGATAGTTAGTGACATCTACTGTACTATTAGTGAATTACTGTGGAATTGAGAGAGGGTTGCTTTGGTTTGGTTTTTGTAATTGAATGCAAACAAGATTGATGTAATTGTTCTATTGATAAAATTGGTGTTTTTTATCCAGTGCTGTAAGAGAAGACTGGGTGCTTGCAGGATTGTGTGAAGTCCTGCCAGTTTGTCTTCAAGGCTGAATAGTAGTCTGGTATTTTTTTCATGTCCCAAAACTGTTTTAATATGAAAGAACAGGAAAAAAATTTACTTATACTGCATTAATTTTGCCTTTTTACAAGTACTGGTGTATACCTCTTGGTAAGTACAAATCATCTTTTTTTTTGCCCTGTCCTATTCTACTCTCAAGTGCTGTTTATCTTGATAACTAGCATGGAATCCCATAGAAGACTCCACATAACAGAAGTGAGAATTAAAACATCAAGCTTTTAAATACTATAATTGCAATTTCATCAGCCTGTTGTCCCAAAGTCTAACCTCAGGTGCTTATCATTTTAAACCACCATTTCTTCTTGACTTTTGGTTGTCTCTATAGTTTTTGGCCTCTTGCTTATTGCATAGAGCAGGAAGGAAATATGTTATGTTTAAGTTGAAGCAAAATCAGGAATATATTTTTGACACAAATGTCATAAAAGAATAATTGTTTGAAATGCTCATTGTGTAGTCAGAACAGTGGAGCTAACAAAATACACGTTTTCTTCTTGAAATGCAACTAATGCAACTGCTTTCTTCTAGAGTCCATTGGTTTGGATGTCTACCAAGCTGCAGCAGTTTTATGCAGGCAATTGTTTGCTGAAGTCGATGATTCTTTCTTACAGAAAAGGATTTAATGCCATAACAGAGGAATTCTCTCACCTGAAGAGGGTCCCACAGAATTGCCATAAAACTGAAGGATGCTGTTAGAGCGTTCTCTAAAAAACATAGTTTAATTTGCTCCCCCCATGAACAGTCCAAAGCCAAAAAAGCTAAACACAGGGAATTGGCTTTGAGTGAAAGAAAAATAAGCAGTTTAAAAAAAAAGATTTGAAAATAAAGTGTAAAAATTAGAATTCCTAAAGGGAAAATACACTAGCTTCTTTGAAACAGAATATGCTGGATATCAGTGGAATGTTGAAATTAAATCTAGTTCATTCGTAGGCTAGCAAAGCTCCCTTCAGGATGCTTTGAATACTTAGATTTACTTGTAATGGAGTAGTGTATTTCTGATTTAAGCTGACATAACACTCAAATTCTACACTTTGGCAGAGATACAGCAGCATAAATAGATAAACATCTTTATTTTTCATCCAGCATTTTTAGAAGATAGTGAAGACAGTGTTTTGAGAGTTCTTGAACTTACATTTCTTCTTTTTTCATAGAAAACCCATCTATAATCCTATGGTTTAGCATCTGAAATTAAGCAGTACTTTATGAGGTATTTAGTAGAATAAATTTTTTGACAAACCTGAAACTTATTTGTCTTTTTTTGTACCTTTACTGACTGCTTTCAGGTTTCTTAGCATTCTGCACTCAGTAATTCACTTCAGGAGAAGACTTCAATGGAAGAGCATACATTCATACATTTTATTTATTTTTCCTTCAGTTCTTTAGTTAGACAGTAAGCACTGTATTTGCAAGGAGTCAAATACTGGAGGCTGATTTTAGTGATGTGCATTCAGGAATTTCAAATTTTAAATGTAAGATGAGTAATCATAATTTTAGAAGAACAGCTACTTATTTGGAAAATACACCCAGAAAAATGCTTCCATCTTTGCCATTATTCCTAAAAGCAATTAAATTTCTCAGTTACAGTACGGCATCTTAAACATACATACAAACCTACAAACATATACATCTGTTTTCATTTTGTTAGTCCTATTCTAGATGTTAACACAGTAGGATAAATATAAACATCATTAAAAAAAAGACATTTCTAATAGCAGACTGGTTTCTTTGAGGTTATTAAATGAGTACCATGTTTGTTTAACAATTTTAGGTTTCTTTCATTTAAGTAAATTGGGTTTTTTAGGCTCTCATCCACTGTGATCAACTGAAAAGTGAGATGGAACGACAGAAGAATTATCTTGAAAAGGAGTTGGCTGCCCAACTAAATAAGAGGGCTGATGAAAAAGAAGCATTGCGGCGGGAAATGAAGAAGGAAAGGGAGGACTTGGCAGCAATGGTATGGGTTGGTTCTTTCCCTGTTTGTGCACTACAATGAGTGTATCATCCTCTTTAAACTTCATTTACTTGTCTTTTATTTTTAGCTTTGGGTGTGAGAGCTCAGTCACTTCTACCATTTTTTTTAAAGCAATGGTAGATAAGTGATGTTTTGAGTTTGAATAACTGGATTTTGTGCTATGTCACTAGTACATACTAGGTTGTTGGTGTTATGCACTTTGTTTTAGTTTGCATAATAATTTTAATGCACTGTGTCAGAGTAAGAAAGAGGTAATATGTGATGAAAGGTTTGTACCTAGTTTTTTTATGAAAATTATTATTTAGTTTGCCATGGCAAACATTCAGAAGTTAGCAAATGTCAAATTTAGGATTCTTTGCTACTTTGATCTTATATATACATTAATGTTACAATATCATTATTTCAAAGTGATCTTATCATATGTTTGGTTTTCCCACCTGCGGAAATGTGTTGGAATCTCTTTTCTCACTCTTACTAATGTTTATAAACTCTCTGAGAGAGAATCTGTCTCATCATTTATGCCATGACCATCGTGATAGTCTTGATAACCTTGTTTTAGCCTTCTAGATGCTGCTGTAATTTGAGTATAAAACATGAGGGTTTACTGCCCAATGGAGTCTACAGAGGAAAGCTCAAGCTAACAGCAGTAAGCCTGTGATAGAGGAGGCTTCTAAGGTGATTAAAATGGGAAGAAATGTAGAGAGACAAATACCTCATGAATTAGTGGTATTCATGCTTTGTATGCTATGTAGTGGTATTCATGCTCATGTTTGATCTGCAACATCTTGAACTATTTATGGGGGAGGTTTGAAAACAAGAGTGTCAATTTCTCTCCTGATTGAACACTTTTTCTTATTTTTTGGGAGTCTTTTATAAGTTGTATGTATTATTTCTAAAAATTTGGAGAGCACAAACTGAGCAAAATAAGCCATTTAGGTGTGTATAAAAAAACCTTTGACTCCAATTCCAGATACCAAAACAGATATTAAGCACAGTGATGGGAACTAAGGGATCTTTAAGTATGTGAACTGATCATCAGTGATCTGTTGCCAGGGAAACTGAAATTAAAAAAATAATCTTCCACTGGAGACATTATTGAGCAATTCCTTGTTTGACTTCTTGCTATCTATTAGAAGTTATCCCTTTTATGAAGTTAATTGCTTTATTACAAGTTGATTAAAGCAATGTATTCACTCCAAAATACAGCCTATTAGACAAGCATTTAATACTTTTTTTGGTAGAATATTTCACTCCATGTCATCACATTAGTTTGTATTTCATCACCCACTGAAATTGTTTAACTGGAACCAATTCCCACTTTAAGTAGTTGTGCACTTTTTTTTTTTAATAAATCCTGCACATACATTAAACAACATATAGTGACACTATGATGATGTCATGCTTGGTAATTAAAGATATGGGATGACTGTAGAAAATTATGATCTATGTTAATGATTTACACCTACATATGATTAACTACTTTTATGTTTTAGGATTATGAGGTGGTAGAAATGGTATACTGTGGATCAAGTCAAGATTCATCTCAATATTTTATTGCTTACTTTATGAAATGGTTTGTTTGAAGGGGAGAATTGCCATGATAGTTAAATCAGGTGGATGTATAAGGAGTGAAAAATAGTTATGAATATATAATCCACTAGGTTTGGCTTTGAATTTCTGAAAGTTAACCTAGAACTGTCAGACACCATTATTTCCACTTATATTAGTAAGCTTCAGGGCTAAACAGCTGAAGGTTCACTGTCTGTTTTATTGTTATATTTTTTAATCATCCAGCAAAATTTCATCTGAATTACAGTAGAATTTTTAATATACTAATTCTATATGAGTTTTTCACAACAGTATGCTTTGACCTATAGTGTTGAAATATTTTCAGAATTTGAAAATTAATTTAAGATTGATTCTTGCAGCAACAGTTTTCTTTAGCTAGGGGAACACGATTTGGTTTGAATCAATCTACATAAGGATGGATAAGAAGGTGTTAAATAGTACTCTTACATTGCAAAACTAATGTAGCCAGCTGCTTCTGACACCTTGTCCATATTAACAAGTCCTGGAGACTAGTGCAGTTGATGAAAAGTTTCAAATAGACTACTGCATGATAAATAAATTTATAAGAGTGAACCCATTAATAAAATAATGTAGCCATATTCTATTATTAATAATATAGGATATATTTTTATTGTACATACTGGATTTTTATTACATTTTTTAATGTCATGTATTTTGTCTATATACAGTTGCTTTTCAGGAGAAAGTTCCACAAGAGTTTGCTCTGTGGTTCGTCAAATTGCATCATTACAGTGTTCTTGGACTGTTTCAGGTGACAGCTTTGTCTAAGGATGTGGCTGTTCTGGAGGCCCAAATAGAGAGAATTACAAGAGAAAAGAATTCTCTAGCTAGCCAGTTAGAAGAATCACAGTGCCAGCTTGCATCTCATGAGATGGAGATGAATAAGGTAAGCACATTTATAAAGGAGCATTGAACTTGTTTTTCCTTATCATTGTGACCTGAGAGAAGAGAATTTTTACCTTGTCCATTTTCCTGTTTTCATAAGGAATGTGTGGTAACTGTAGACTTGATCTCAACATCCCAGAGGCAACTACAGCTATTCTAATTGCAGGAGTAAAAAAATAACTGTTTTCATTTCCAAGTCACCTTGTCATGCAGAAGCTAACGTTTCTATTTTGCAGCTTATGAGGGTCACTATTGAAAACACTATCCCAGTGTTTCAGTAAAGAACTGAGTTTGGTCTGAGAGAGACAGTAGAGACTTCAACAGTGTCCTTACTGCCACCTGTGGGACTTGCAGTGCCACAATAAAAGGAGCTATATCAAAACACTGATTTTCAAGTTCTTTCCTTTGGATTTTTATGTAGTATGTTGCTTAATTTAGTGTTATTGATAGTAGGGCTCTTACAGAGACATCTAGTTAAGAATTACAGCTTAACATGCATCTTGTGTAGATCATCACTCCTGGGTGCTTTCTTTTGCATGTTTCTCAATCAGTTAGAGCTTTAATGGAGGTCATAACATGAGAAAAAAAAAAAAAACAAATCAACTTATTACAGCCTCTTGAAATGTCTGTATTCCTTACCAATCATCCCAGGACTCATCCTACCTCCCCAGTTGTTAACTGCAAGGATTTGAGGAGCAATTTATTTTTCAGGCCTCTAGAGATTTCAGGAAAGGTTTTCAACAGTTCCTGTCTTCCCCTGCTGCCCTGGCTGATAGAAAGAGGCAAAAGTATTGCAGAAAATTCACAGCAAAAAGTCATCCCAACTTACTAGAAAATTTATTTAATTTTAACTGTAAGACAAATGAGTATATTAAAAATGTCAGAATGGTTTGATCTACCAATTTCTGGAACACACTTTTGGTCTCTCAAGCTGGGTTCACAAATCACTAGCACCACTTACAGGGGTGAGGAGGTGGTGAAATAGGCAGTAGGTACAAATATTCATTGGTCTGAAAAGAACAATTTTGTACCCTACCAATTTGAAGTTACCTCTCCGGAGATGATACTGTGGTTCCAGTCCCTGCTTCAGTTCATGTTAATACAAAGTTGAACAGGTGGTCATCTTGCAGTAGTCTATTAATTTCACTGTCCTGAGAGATTGGAAAAGTTTATTTCTGTCCCTGTACTAAACTGAGAAGTCTTGAAAATCTTGGAGGAACCTCCCAAACACTGAGCTGACGGGACTGTGTGCATCACCCTGACATTTTCACTGGCCATGTGACATCTTTGCTTGTGAATCTGACTCCTTGTTTCCAGACTCAGTTTGCCATTATTAAAACCAGCAAATAACAACACTTTAGTTTTGAGTTTTATCCAAAATATTGTTTTTCTTCATGCACCAGAAGTCACGGAAAGAAAATATGGAGTGAGGTTCTATTTCCTTCATTCTTGAGGAGACTGAAAAATCCATTATTAGGACAGCACCATCTGCTGATTCTTCTGTGTTATTCCCTTTGTGCAGTGTGTGGAGGAGCTGAAAGCGAGGCTTGCTGAATTTTTTTAATTTCATTTGGAGGAAGTGACATGTTACATTTTGTTACATCCTTCAGATAAAGGAAGGGGGAGGTAGATATCCAGCAAGCTATGCAAGCTCTGCAGCTGCATCTCAAGATATTTTTTTTTACTTGCACATAATATTTTAGTGTTTAAAAAAATGCTTTAGAACTTTGCTGTTCTTCAGAGCATTTGCTGCTTTGGGTTATTTGAAATGGCTAAATTCACAAGTTGTCCTTTGAATTTATAAGTGATGCTACTTCTTGAAAGTTATGACAGTTGGTTTAGTTTTTTTCCTAGAGTGATTTCATTGCAGTATCCATATTTACATTTTCCCTACCTTTTTTTTAAGGAGAAAAAAAAAAGTGAAAATGAGAAGAGGTATAAGACTGAAAAACATAAATTAATTTGGATTGTAGAATATGTAAGAATGTTTTTGAGAAGCACAGAGGATTGTAGCAGCAAATTAAAAGGGTGTACATTTTAGGAGCACATTTTAAGTGCTGAGAGAATATAAGCAAGGCAGGAAAGTTGAGTGAGTTGGAAAGAAAGTTGACTAAGAGGAGCTATGAGTAAACACATTTGCATTCTCACTAAGGAATGTGCATGTATTTGGTTGGTTAATTAAGGTGAAATGAACAGGCACAAATTGGAGGTGATGGCACAGGGTAAGAACAAAAAGGGGACAGCTTAGATTGAAAACTGGAAGAATAACCCTGCACAGCAGTAAAGTTATGTGAAAGGGATTAGTGATCTTCTGGTTTTGTTATTTTTTTATTTTTTTCGCTTTCTCTTAACCCCTTCACATTTCCTCTGAAGTTGATTCCCAGATGGAAAGGGTTTAGGAGGTAATATAACAAACACTCCAACAGCAGAGAATAATTGTCCTGTGTAGAAGTGATTTCCTGAAATGTTGCTTTGATCCATTTCTTCTGGACCACGTATCCATTTAAATTAGATGGGTTTTTTTAAAGAATTGATCTTTGGTTTGCAGTAAATTTGTAATGCTCTGATCAAACTTTGAAAATTATTGTGTTAACATTTTAAACAATTTCTTTCTCAACAGTGTTAAATTGGCAAGTTAAAATACACCTTTAATTAGGAGTGTGATAGATGCTTTACTTCTAGGTTTTGGAAGTGTTGACATAGACTTTCTTGGGATTTTACAGAGAATGAGAGAAGAGTATAAAACCAGCAACTGTCATTTAACTGTAGAGATAGATGGATATTTCTAACATAAGCCTTTATACTTAGCAAAATCTTGATCCAAATATATTTGAATCTAGAAGGTAGTGCATATGTCAAAGTTAATGGCTATATATAGAGTTCAGATCCACCTTTCTATGTAAAAAACATTTACCATTTGTAGACCTAAAATATCTGTAAATTAAAGATATGTTGCATTTCAATGACCTGTAGAGGGCACCAAAAGATCTAATTGCAAACCCTGGGCTATGGATTCTTCAAGCTAACAGATCATGTTGTCTGTGTAATCTAACAGGTGTGTGGAGAAATGCGCTATCAGTTGAATCAAACCAAAATGAAGAAGGATGAGGCAGAAAAGGAGCTCAGAGAGTACAGAACAAAAACTATAAGGGAGCTTGAAATTAAGGACCAGGTAAGAGATAATACTGCTATAACTTTGCAGTTATTAGTTGCCTAACTAGGGTTTTTTCAGAAGCTGGAATGATTCATTTTTCTAATAGTGGTCATTTATTACTGTTAAATGGTTTAAATTGATGGCAAAAAGCCAGCTTTTACTGCTAAATAAATACCTCTTGGTTATCTTAATCTTGTTTTCAGCCCTGGTATGTTCAGTTTTGCGCATCACTCATTCCATGATTTCATATAGAATTACTCTATCATATTATTCATACCAGCTACTTAAATTCTATGTAATGTATACATGTGTTTATACACTTTTTCTCACAAATAAATCCACACATAATTACCTATACATGCAGCCTAACAGAACATTAAAGGCTCTAAGCATAACCTAATGATGCCAAAAATGAAAATCATTTATCTTCCAATTTCTTTAAAGAGTCAGTGTTACTGAATGCTGGGATTCATAGGAAAGTTTAAAAAGACAAATCTAAAACAAAAGTAGCCTTGTAGAAAAAATAACAATAGAAAAAAAGTCCACTTGGCATTAACTGTTGCTTATCTAAAACTGGGATTTATATTAATATAAAAACCAGTATATGCCTTACAGGTAGTCTGTAAGAAAACATCCCATGCAGTAGGAAAGATTATTAGAGTAACCTGCAACATACTTGGCAAACAGCTTGAACAGGTGTAATCTGCATCTTTTGAAGTGCCCTTTTTCTTGAGGTTCTATCCATTTTTCTCTAGGACTTCAAAATTTGAGTATTCCTTCTTAAGTTTTGATTTACACTTAAGAGTCTTCTGAATACACAAATATATAAGATGCACATGAGGATGATTTTTTTAATATGCCTTTTTTTATTTAAGCAGCCTATCCAACACATTTTGAACCTTTCTTTTTCTTTTAAATAACTGAACAGATCATTCCCTGTATAAGAATATATGTAGGGGTAAAATGAAGTATTTAAAAAATTAAATTTTTAATGACCAATTCCTCAAAAGCTGCATGTAGGACAGTAAGTTTATTAACTTAATAGTACAAGCTTAGTCTGGAAGCAATATTAATTCAAGTTATAATGGAAATATATGTAAAATCCAAAGGAGGAGCTTATTAGGTGAAATAACCCTTCAACCATGTATAGAAAATGACACAGCGCAGAAGAAGAGAGGTCTTGAAGTGTTCTTTTTTTTCAAGGTTTGCTTTTTTTTCACTCCTGCATCCTTTAGGCCTAGGGACACTGAAAAACAAAAAACAGGCTTGTCGTCTGTGTCTTGACAGATATCACAGATAAAAGAGTTGGCATAATCTTGGCATACAAATAAAACAGGATGTGTTTAATAAGATACTTGAAGAAGTATCTTGGATTTTAAATCCTGTTCTCCAACTTGCTTGAGGATTGCCTTTTGAACAAATTACAAAATTTAACAAAATATTTTAACCTCATGTGATGACATGCTGGTATTTTAATCAGTCTGGAGCTGAATACACTGAAATGTGGTGATTTATAATTTGATATAAAGTGAAATTATGTGAGAGAGAGTTCCTATCAGCAAGAATTATTAGCCAATTAGATAAAGATTAGATATTCAGTAATTATGTTATTGTGGTGTTCAAATATAATTTTTGGTTCCTCAAAAAAAGGAAAACAAACAATTTTGTAATTCTCAGACTCAGTATTTAGCAGCTGTTTTATAGCTGTGGGTCCAGTAACCCAAAAAGTTCTGTATAAGTCCTAGGATTATTTAATGTGTTAAAGGCAGCCCAAGAACAGTGTTAGAGTGCCTTGTTCTGTTGTTGCCTGTTGGCTGAGGATTTTTAAATCAAATTTTAACAAATGTTAATAAGTTATTGCAAATTATTTTGTTTAAAGAAAATGAAAACAGTTCAATTGCATATATCTTTGTATTTAAAGAAAATCTGGAATGCTTCATCTTATGTGGCACTGAATAGCAAATATTAATTGTTCTTTGGTCTCTCAGCCATGACCTGACCTTCTGGCTAAGAGACAGAGCTGATACCTTCCTTGGCCACCATCTGTTCATAATAAATACATATTTATTTTTTTAAAGTAGAGGGACAATAATGTAGGAGTATTTTTATACTATTCTGTATTAAATGATGGATTTTTTTTCCCTTTTAAAAACAAGGGATCATGTTGTAGATTGCCTTTTAATATATTCAAAGCAAGTTTACTGTTTCTTGAGATATAATTGTATTATTAATTGTGCTGTGGATAAATTTCAGTTTTGAAGATATTTTTTAGTTTACATGGAGTGACTTTTAAAAAAGGATTACAGTTATTCAGGTGTGTCAGAATAGACAGAAAGCCCCACATGTACAATTTAGGATCACCAGATACATATATCTGCATGTCAAGTAAATACAGATTGGTATTTATCATATGATGGTATTTATAAATCTTATTCAAAATTGAGCTTATATCCTTTAGGAAACCTAAAGAGAGTATATATCTTTGGTCTTCCTCCCTTTTACCCTAATATCTTTTTCCCTGTATTTATTGTTTGGTTAGGACTAACGCCCATGTGTCAATATCTGTAATAACTCTCTTATTAGCATTTTACATGAATATTTCTTAATAATTAAGAAGCAAAGAGCAATGTTACTATTTAAATTGAATAACTGTTTTGTAATATCATCCATCATGATCCTTATTAACATCAGGATTATGGAGGGAGGTGGGGGGAAAGACTTGTACCACACAGTTTCTCTGCACAAAACCCACATCTGTTCATCTGGCCCGATATGTTGTAAAGTAGCATAACCTACTGCCCTCTCTTTTTCTCTCTCAGCCAGCCCTCCCATTGTGGATGTAGCTGTGCTGAAATAACAGTGCATTACTAAATACTTTTACTGCTTAGGAACAAGCTTTATAGATTATATGAATATAATGCCTTCATGGCAGTAAACTGTGTCCACACTAGGGGTTGTACTAGCACAGCTATATCAGAGAAGAGTCACGCCCTAACCTAAATTGCTGTTATTAGAACAAAAATTGTGTGGCATATTTGACACAGCAGGGCTTCACTTTTATAATACTTTTTTTGTTAATTTGTAAGCACTGCATGGCATAATTTATGCATTTCTAACAGAAATCATACTTCTGACACACTATGAAATTGTTCCTCAGATTAACATCACTTGCTCTTTTCTGCTCTGCCTTATAAAAATAAAAATGAAGTTCATTTTTAATAATTTGCTTTCTGTTTGTCTCAAACAATTTATATTTGGCTTAAAATCTTGCAAGCTTCAGCATGTAGAAGTGAAAACAGTTTTTAATATTGGATTTTGCAGTCCAAGCCAATTTGGGCATCCTCCTTATTAGATAGTTCCTACCAGTAGCATGGCACCACTGGGAGTTGTGGTGTCCTTGCAGTAAAGTAATAGGACATGTTAAATTCAACTCCAGAAAATAACTGCAGCTCTTCAATTTTGTTTTATCAAGTTTTATGGAATCAGATAAATACTTTGTGTAGAAATAAATCCAAGCTAGTAATCTAAGCCTTTAAAAAGTCTTTATATTTGGGCAGATATAGTTTGAAGGAGGATTACAGAAATCTGTTGCCTATCTTCTAGGTGACAAAATTAAAAGCTCCAGAAACACAGTACTAAAACCCACAGATTTTTAAGAGTTGCCTGCATTGCAGTTCATAAGTCCAAATAAAAAGAAGTCAAGATTCACTGACATGCATAACCTTTACAAATAGGAAGAGCTACACACCAAAGTATTTTTGTCCAGTATGACAGAACCTAAATGATGTCTCTGTACATTATAGACTGACAATTTTGCAGACAAATAAAAATCTGGCAAAATTGCAGTCCAAAAGCACTTTGCCAAAGGGTATTTTGGGAATGTTTATCTCATTTGTCATAAATCCATGATTTATAGTAACCTAATTTAGATGTTATAAGAGGAGAGATTACTGACTCTGTCTTCATCAAAAATAGTTCAGGCCAAGAATTTGGGTATATATCCTGGAAATGCTTCAGAGTATCCAAAGCAAGACCAGTAACACCTTCTAAAGACCCTGGTTCACTGAAATGTCTTTTTACAAACAGATATTAAGCTTTCATGACTCAGGCTTTAAAATACTAGAGTTTTCAACAGCTGTGACATTCAGCATATCACCAGATGTTTGAAACTTGCAAGTTTTAATAACTGATGAAGATGAGTTAGGATTATGTGTTATGTGCATTCTTGTAACAGTCTGTATCTATATCTGATATTCTGGTTTCATATTAGTTATAAAGGTGCTCTGGAAATTCTGTTTTGAAAAGAAATTCTATTAAATCATCATTGTATACTTGAGTTATATTTGGCAGGGGAGAAAATGCTCAAAATTCAGAAGATGGCTTCAAACTCTTAGCATGAAATTTTCTCACCTGGTCTGACCTTGAGTATAATGGTCTTAAAAGTAGCAAACCCAAATTGCTTTTGGAAAAGAAAGCATTAAGGAAATGTGATAACCTTTACTGTGACTGAGCTCTTCCTAATTAATCATTTTGTGGTTTGGGCATTGAATGAAATAATTTGAAAATTAGTAAATAAGGAGTAAAATGGCAGTACTTTAAGCCTTGCAAATTTTCTGGCCTGCTCAGGAGGAACTTAATTCTTTTCTTTATAGCTGAACTTACTAGCTCATTTCAAGATTTCTGAGGAAGACATTGACCTACAATCTTGCAATATATATAAAATTATTATATGGCTGCTGCTGCTCTGCTATGGCATAACTTTCCTCTGTCAGCCATCCATTACTCAAGAATCAGTGGTATGAGCAGCCTTCAGTAAATCCTACCTATTTCCTTAAGAAAAATGCTTGGGACTAGGATTCCCAGTGGTAGACTTTTCTTTACTCACTTGTCTTCATTTTCTGTACAGGTCTACTTCCCCTAAGTATCTAGCCTGCTAAGAGGAATATCACAGGATCAGGATTTTATTGTACATAACACAGGATCAGGATTTTATGTTTCATAGGTGTAGTTTGGCCCAT